TCCAAAACGAGAGGAAAAGTGTTAGGAAAAGTAGATACTTTGGAGACGTATCAACTCTCCCAAGCTTAAACCTTTGCTTGTCCTCAAGCAATTCAGTTGATAAACTGAAAGTGAAAAAGAAAAACTTTTACAAGCTCTTTTGCTCTTGTTTGCATAAATAAGCTTAAACATCACCCAGGATTTCAACCACTATTATAACTAACCATGCCGACAATAACTCTTAAAAAATATATTAACTCATATCAATGACATAATCAGCTAGCGAGCAATAATAAGATATCTCAAACGACAACATGTTATCAAAACAACCATGATATAATATGACGATAGTGGTATCTTGCTAGCCATTTCTAAGAGCGCAAAACATAAATGCAGAGCACCTCCAAAGTTTAAGCAGCGACTAAACATTGTAATTCATGGTAGAAAAGATCCACTCATGATGCACCCAACATTTGCTACACACAATGCATTAGCATGATAGCAATGCTCTCAGGTTCTGGCGCTTGTTTTACAATGTGATGACACAACATAAAAGTAAATAGATAGTCCCTTCACAGAGGGAAGCAGTGATTTGTAGAGGTGCCAGAGCTCAAATTTTTAAAACAGAGGTTAATGATAGTTTGAGACATGCATCTTTCTTGTTTACTTCACGACCATCAGTTATCAATATATTCCATGCTAAACATGCTAGTGGCGGTTCTCAAGCGATAAAAGTAAAGGTTTTGTCTTCATTGGGAGTTTTTGTTTGATTATTTGTAAGCTTTTTCTATTTGCAGTTTGGGACTGGGCATCCCTATTACCGTCCTTTTCTCGTGCGATGGCGAGTGAATAAACACTTGACCTGGGAATAACCCACTTAGCATGGAAGATACCGATCACCTACTATTGTTCCATGAACGATTCAGACTCACAAAAATGATATTTATTTGATGTTTTTTAGAGGTGGCACATGCAAATTTACTTAGGACGGCAGGGTAATACCGCATATAGGTAGGTATGGTTGACTCATCTGGAATAACTTGGGTTCAAGGTTTTTTATGTACAAGCAAAATTCCCACTTAGTACAGGCGAAGGCTAGCAATTAGGTTGAGAAGCGGCCAGCTAGAGAGCAATAACGGTCATGAACATGCATTATGCATAAGTAATATTGGACACTAGCATGAGTAGGATATGAACACCATGAACATAAATATCATAGAGACTGTGTTGGTTTTGATTCAACTACATGCATGAACATTTGTCAAGTCAAGCCACTCGAACATTCAAAGGAAGATACCATGTCATCATACTACATTCTTGGTGGTGGTGCAGCCGGCGATCTCATGTAGGGTCGTACCTCAGGCGGAGGCTGAGGGTGGTGGCCAGGGTGAGAACCTTGTCTGGCTTGGGCCAGATGATGGCGGCGGCGTCCTTGCGTTGTTCCCTTCTTGAAGGCTCCATTGCGGTGACCTTGCGTCCTTCGTGTTACTCCGGGTGAAAGCCTCGATTCCCTGGATCGGGCGGTGGCGGCTCTTTCGTGTTGTTTCTTTCTAAAAAGCACCGCTTTGAAGTCACTGGTTTGTTGAGTTGTGGCTTCGTCTCCTCGCGGTGCCTTGTTCACTGCGGAGCAGGGGCGGAGCTGGAGCAAATCTTACCCGATGCACCACTTTAACAAGGCATGAATTTTTTCAAGCGTGGATGTATTGAATAAATGTGTGTTTTATAGGTTTAACACACATTATTGGATATAATAGAAGCGATTTGTAAAAACGAAATGTAGCCATCAAATTGCTTACTATAATGATAAAACAAGGGATATAACTACTTGAAATGTAGCCCAAATGAAAGTACTTAGATTGCTAAAAATTGAAAATTACCTTAGTATGTTTCTATTCCTCCAGGCCATGAAATACTCAACCACTTGTTTCTATTCCTCCAGGCCATGAAATACTTAACCACTTGAGCATTGGTGGCCCTTTTCATTTCTTCCTTCTCCACATAACAAATAATATCATCACTCAAACTTTCATCATTGAGGCGATTGCCCTGATCATACTGAATCTCCTCTTCCCAATTTATGTCTTCTGGCTGTGATGGTGCATTTCTTTTGAGAAGAAATTTGTCCATAGTATCTGTATTTGACAAATATAAATTATAAATGAGACATGGAGAATTGTATAGGCAAATAAAATATAACCTAATTAGAAGTTATAACCCTAGAAAATACTCCACACTTTTACCAAAACATAGTGATTTACTATATTCACTACAAGTCTATACATGATTGTTGAAGTTCAACAAAACTAGGAAAAGCAAGACAAAGGCCCTACCACAATTGTGGCCTTTTATAATTTATCATCTATGGCGGACACAGAGACGAACATTCAAGATTGGAATTTGAAAAGGATGCGAAATTACCGAGCACCGGACGGCGTGCAACGTTGCTCGTGCGCATCGCTTCGTCACCGTGTGAGGACCCAGGCTGCATGGAGGCCGGCGGCCGGCGCGCTGCCGCTGCCGCCTCCGGCGGCTGTGTGGGACGGCGACGCGCAAGGGGCGTATGGAGTATGGTAGGCTGGGTTCGTACGCGTAATGCACAAATCGATCGATGGATCGATTAGTTTTTTTCTAGTGAAAAAAAAGATGGATCGATTAAGGTTTGCGTACGTGACTACGTGAAGAGATTCTCTTTTTTTTTCATAGACAAAAACTACGTGAGGAGATGGTGGATGCGCAAGCGAACCGTCGTGCGTGCGTGTACTGCTGCGTTGGGCCAGTCCGGAGGCGTCGGAGTGGCTGGAACGGGCTGACCCTGATGCACAGCTCTTGGGCCACCCTGATGCACTCGGCCTTTTTAACTAATAGGCACTGCTAGGGAATTTTTTCACCCGTATTCCTGTGCATACGGGTCAGCCCAATGGGCTCCGCCCCTGCTGCGGAGAGCTGTTTAGATCCTTTGCTATACTCTTTTGCTTACTTGTTGTTTGCTTTGGGGTGTTTGAAGTAGCCTTGTTGTTCGACAGCTCCCTTATATCTGCCATGAGTGTGTGCGTGATGTAGGATGGATTTCATCATGTATGTCAATCATTGCTTTATATATAAAACGGAATGAAAACCTTTTATTATATATAAAGCGGAATGAAAACCTTTTATGGTAAATTGCACAGTAATTGATGCCTCGCCGCTCGCATCCGGCGACCGAGCGATGGGCGAACAGGAGAGACGAGACGCAAGAGGTGAGTCGTGGAAGCTAATGAGTAGAGGCGTGCAGTCGCCGTGTATACATCGTATGATGGTAAGACAGTACGAAAGAAGTCACAGTTCACCCCTGCCTATGTGCACGGATGCAATTCTGCACGTCACATTAGTTGATGGGTTCAGCCTAATCTTTTTACTGGGTTCATGCCGAATAAATACGTGCCTAGATGTACGTAGCTTTGAAATTTCGTTGGGTTCAACTTGACCCAACGGTACAACATTCGGTTATATGAACTAACTTGTGATTGAATGGTTAAAGGAATAGTGATATCCTCAGTTTATCAGGGTTTTCAGCGATGCGCTTTCAGTGAGAAGAGATGTTCCCATTGACGACTATGCACCTACGATGAGTTCATAAATCTAAAGATGATTTGCCAGCTCAGTCTCTCAAAGGTACATATAAAATAGAGTATATGTGTGTGCGTTCATAAAGGTAAGTGTATACACGTATACATGAGCGCTTACGTCTGGACTGTGTTCGAAAAAAAAATACTGGGCCGTAGCCAAGCCAAAGTCTCCTCTGTATCGGTTAGCGTCACGTTGCCTACCGGGACTCGGAAGTCGGAACTACACGTTGTCACGTTCTACACGTACGGATTCCTTCTGTGTACGGGCGCAATTTATACACAAACTTTTGCTGCGGCACGTCGATCCACTACCGATTACTGAACAAAATTGTTACGAGGCCTTCTTCTTCTTCACCTTCTGTTTCGACAAATTCTTCTTCAACTCAGAAGAAACCATGTCGTGGTTTTCCATGGAAGGCATGCTCTTCATCGGAGTATCAGGCGTCGCCACTACTGTTCTCGCCTGGGTGACTTGGAATTTGCTCAACTACTTGACCCAAGACAAAGACAGACGCGCCCCCGGCACCTACCCCCTCCACACGCCCAACCCACTCCACTCGGGCGCAGGCTGCAGCCTGACCACCATGAACGGCGGCGAGACCTCACACGGCGCCCTCAGGACCTTGGACGCTGCTGCGGCCGATCCTGTCATCGGCCGCGACGACGAGATCGACCGCGTCATCTGCATCCTCATCCGGCGGACCAAGAACTGCGCCGCGCTCGTCGGCCCTGCGGGGGTCGGCAAGACGGCCATCGTAGAAGGCCTCGCGCAGCGCATCGCCGCCGGGAACGTCCCCGACACACTTGCCGGCGCACGGATCGTGGAGGTCGACATGGGTGCCATGGTCGCCGGGACGAACTGGCGTGGCATGTTCGAGCAACGCCTCAAGGACGCCATCAAGCAGGCGGAGGAATCGGACGGCAAGGTCATCCTGTTCATCGATGAGATGCATATGATTGTTGGCGCCGGCGCCGGCGAACGACACCCCACCGTTGACGCTGCCAATATGCTCAAGCCGGCGTTGGCTCGTGGTCGTGTCCGTTGTGTGGGCGCTACCACTAACGAAGAGTATAAGCACATCCAGAAGGATGCCGCACTCGAGCGGCGGTTTCAGAAGGTTGTCGTCGAAGAGCCAAGCCTACAAGCCACCATTGCCATCCTGCAGGGGCTGAAGCAACGATATCAAGAGCATCATGGCGTGAAAATCCAGGACGATGCTCTTGTTGCCGCTGCACAGCTTGCTGCCCGCTATATTACAGGTAATTAACCAATTTAATGGTTTACTGTAATATATGACTATGTGTTGTCAACTAATGTTTATTTGTCAAGGCAATTGATGGAGTTAATCATTGACAGGTCGTCAGTTTCCTGATAAAGCAATTGATCTTATCGACGAGGCATGCGCTACAAGAAAGATGCATGTCGACAAACAAAAGAATGCGAAAAATAAACAAAATAACACCATAATAAATACATCAGAGGATATGATTGTGGGCCCAGGCCATGTCGCACAGGTAAGTCCTAACCATGTACAACTATGTGAATAATTTTCATTACTACTAGTGATGATGTGCCTTCATATTGTAATGTTATTTGAAGGTTGTGAGCCGGTGGACTAAAATTTCCCTCGCCACACTTCATCAAGGGGAGAAGGAGAAGTTGATCGACTTAGCGAAAAAATTGCATGAGCGAGTTGTTGGGCAGGATGAAGCGGTCAATTCGGTTGCAAAAGCAGTGTTGCGTTCAAGGGTCGGCTTTGGTCAATCTGAACAACTTATAAACTCATTCCTTTTTTTGGGATTCCTTGGTGTTGGTAAAACAGAACTTGCTAAAGCTCTCGCTGTGAAGATATTTGACACTCAAAAGGCGTTGATTCGCTTTGATATGTCTGAATATGCTGAGAGTGGATCTGTGTCACGTCTAATCGGTGGACCTCGAAGGTTTATTTCTTACACTTTATGCACATGCTTTATTTCTTATGACACTCAATACCCATGTCTCACTAATTCATTTGACTTTCTAAAGCTATGAAGAAGATGGACAACTCACCGAGAAAGTGAAGAGCTGTCCATACAGTGTTGTCCTATTTGACCAAGTGCATAAAGCAGAACCCTCAGTATTTAAACTTTTTATTCAAATCCTTGATGATGGTATGTTGACCGATGGAAAAGGACGGCTTGTCAACTTCAAGAATACTATCATCATTATGACTACGAATTTGGGAGCAAACCACCTAACATCAAGAATCACCGGAGAGAGCACCATGAGAGCTGGAAGAGATCTTCTAACGAAAGAGGTTCGTGAATCTAAAATTAATCGTCCCTTGCAAAATCCATAGTGTGCAGCCAATAATTAACATATATAATTCATGCAGATTGAGAAATGCTTCAAGCCTGAACTAATGAATAGACTGAGTGAGATTGTGACATTTGAGCCACTTTCACATGACGAACTAAGGGAGGTTGTGAAAATCCAGATGAAGAATGTCACCGCCATGGTAGCTAACAAGGGTGTCTCTCTAGTTACAACTGATGCCGCTCTGGATGTCATTTGGTCAGAAGCACATGATCCAGTAAGTATATGTTCTTTGCACAAATCGCCACACAAATAAGATTTCATATCAAAGTTATTTTCCATAGCCATTTTTGTAAAGGCCAAAAAACTACTTGTATGTTTCGGTAACCATGCATACGCTTCAACGCTTGTAGGTGTACGGTGCAAGGCCTATAAAAAGGTGGGTGCAAAAGCATGTGACGGCAATTCTCTCAGACATGATGGTCAATGGAGAAGCATGTGAAGGCTCCACCATCTCCATCGACGCAACAGAGGATAAGATGGGGCTGAAGTACCAAGTACTAAACTGATGTCGAGGCAAACTCTCACAATGAACAGATAAAAAGATGATCATGAGTGATGAATAGGCATATGTAGAGCCTGCACATAATAAAATGCACGCATTTCTATTGGTAGGGCCCGCGGGTGCGAATAATATAGTAAAATACGCGTATTTCTATTGTTAGGGCCCGCACATGTCAGTTATTCTTGTTCAGCCTTTTCTTATCCGGCCTCTTCCACATCCCCTTGAAATATATCTAAATTTTATGAATGTTTAAGGTTTTGGAAGTAATAAATTTTGGAACCATATTTTTTTTCGAAATTTTTGACAGTCAAATATTTGGAAGCTCCGTCATTAAAATTCCAAAAATTAGATGTTTTTAAAACTTCCATGTTTTGGGTTGTTATAAATCGACGGCTCCATCCTTGTTGGGTTTGTCGCCACCAACAATATTATGTACTCATGCGGCAAATAAAGCTACTTTCTTGCGGAAACTATCCAAACTTTTGATACAATACATAAATGTATGTATGTATGTATGTATGTATGTATGTATGTATGTATGTATATATATATATATATATATATATATATATATATATATATATATATATATATATATATATATATAATCAAAAGAGGTAATATCACAGGTGGTGCTTAAACTTGCCACCGATGTTCACTTTAGTGCCTGAAGTTCAAAAATACACCGAACTGGTTTTAAAACTTGGCACGAGCGTGCAAATATGGTGCTAATCCTATTACTAGACGTTTTTATGCTGACGTGGCACGATAGTTCGCTTAGCATGCACAGACAACCTCGCCCTAGCAAACTGGAACTACTCGCCCATACGTTTTCTCGTGCCTGTTAATGAAAACAGATCCTTTTTTTAGAATAATGAAAACATTTCCTATTTTGTTAGATAAAGAAACACGTTAGTGGGTTTTAATGGCCTGCCGCACTGCAGTCCAGTTTGCGCATGTTAGTTTGATTTAGAAATTTGTAAAAAAAAGTTTGTTAACTATAATCACAATAATAAAAATACATTTCAAATATTTGTGCTTCAAATTTTTTATAAATACATATAAATTAAATAACTAAAATGTTCATGTAATTTAAAAAATAGTAAGCTATTTACATGTGATTTATAGTTAAAGCTTTTAGTAAATAAATTTTCTAAATTGCTTAGTATATGAAAAAATAATTATAAAAAACTTAATTTTTTGAGTAAATTCCAAAATATTATGCATGCTTGGATTATGCTTAATTGAAAAAAAAGTTATAAGTAGAAACATTTTTATTAATGTTCACATGTGTATAACTTTCTATTTTTGCGAGAAACATGTGTATAACTTTCATCGTGTCATATATTCATATTTTTTATAATTAAACTATAGTCTGGAGTGAATATTTTTTATAAACTAAAATTTTAAATTTTGCATATTTATGAACATTTTACATTATTGAAAATTTCTTAAACAATATGAATCTTGAAAATGTACATGTAACTATTAAAATGTTTATGTAGTTAAAATAATATTTATGAATTGTAGTATAGAAAATATTTATATAATTCTAAATTGTACAACCATTTTTATAATCCGAAATACCATTTTATTTATAGGATACGTTTAAAACAAATATGTGAATATTTTTATTACTATGATTATAATTTACAAACTTTTTTACAAAATTCTAAATGAAACTAACATGCGCAAACTGGGCTGCACTGCTGAGCCGATTAAAACCCACATACATGTCTCTTTATCTAAAAAAAGAGAAATGTTTTCATTATTCTAAGAAAAAGGATCTGTTTTCATTAATAGGCACGAGAAAATGTATGGCATACTGGCCAGTAGTTCCAGTTTGCTAGGGCGAGGTTGTCTGTGCATGCTAAGCGAACTACCACGTCAGCGTAAAAAGTCTATTAATAGGATTAGCACTGTATTTGCACGCTCGTGCCAAGTTTTGAAACCAGTTCGGTGTATTTTTCAACTTCAGGCACTAAAGTGAACATCGGTGGCAAGTTTAAGCACCATCTGTGATATTACCTCTAATCAGAATTTGTATTTTCCACACGTTCGGTATTAAGCATCAGATCTGAACGGATCGGATGCCGCTAATTTCAGATCGGACGACCTCTCGATCCCGAGCAAAGTACTGAACGCACTAGCCATCTCACCCAACAGTTGTTGTTGACTATTGAATAGAAAGAGATCTTTGAACACTCGTTACTTCTTTACTTCCGCACCAACAATGAAAGGTATTTTTTTCTTTTTTTTCTTAGATTTCTCTAGTTCATCATATGTTGGTGTCTTCGCGACCATTTTGATGAGCAATATTATTCATGTGTCGAGGAATTTTGGTGTCTACACGAGACACGACCCTGATGGGTGTTGCGTTGAGTGGTGAAGGTTGAGTCATGTCTTCGCAGACGCTTTGTCAGTTTGCAAGGATGATGTTAGTGATGCGGTCAATAAAGACTCCACGAAGGTGCATCAATAGTATTGACTTGATTCGCATCCCTCGATCCATTCCTCCCTACTCGGTCTTTTTTGGTTTTATTTCGCCCCGCACATTCCACATTGCATTACAAATTTGTCTTGGTTTTCTGTCGAGCAGGTTCTGCATCATTCAGTCACTGGCTATTGCATGTAATGGAAAAATAAAAGAGTTGTTGACACATACCCCATAACATCGGTGTAAATATCATGGAAATTAACGTATGACATACATGATAACTTAACATACAAACACCATGATAATTTTAATTCGAAAAAAGTGGTTTGAACATACCACGTTAACTTTTGTGTACAAAGCAAAGTAATACACATACCACATACCCTATAAATTATGTGTAAATAGTTACGGCGCTAGATGTACTATAGTTATCAACATGGTTATTATTTAGTTATCAGACTAGATGTACTATAGTTATCAGCATGATTATTTTCGTAGTTATCGGGCTACATATGGTATAATACACCCCCGGTACTTTTAGTGTAAATAACATGATAATTAACACATCACAAACCTGATAACTCATGCACAAATACCGTGATAATTTTGACCCGAGAGGAAAAAGTTGGTGAAAACATCCTCCGGTAACTTCTGTGTAAATAGCATGATAGTTTACACACTGCACACCTGATAACTCATGCATAAACACCGTGATAACTTTGACCGGAGAGGAAAAGGTTATTGAAAAGATTTGTTGATAACTTCTGTGTAAACAACATATAATGTATGCACCGTATAGTTGATAACTAAGATACAAACGCCATGTTTACTTTTTGAACCAGTGAAAATGTTATGGAAAACGTACCCTAAAAACTCCTGGTAACTTATGTGGAAATAGCATGGTAATATATGCAACGTAGACCCGATAACTCAGGTGCAAACACCATGGTAAGTTTTTAACCCACGGAAAGAATTGTTTAAAACATGTCCGGGGCAAAAAAAAAGTTCAAAACATATCGGGGTAGGGGGGTTGTTTACCAACGTACTACCGGTAACTTCCATATGAATAGCATGACAATGTATGCACCGTATACGCAATAATTCACTCACAAAACATCACAATAACTTTCACTCAGGGGTGGGGAAGGGGATGAAGTTTTTTTAGACATAGCTCCCCTCCTGATATCTCCATGTAAATAGTATGGAAATATAAGCATCATAGACTTGATAACTCACTACAAACATCGTTCTAATTTTGACCTCGAGGAGGAGGCTTGCTTGACAAAAACATACCCTCAATAACTTATGTGTAAATAACATGGTAATAGACGGACGCGGATTTTTGGGACATGCGGCCACGCGATGCCGTAATCCAGTGCGTCCGTGAGCGTGTCGCGATTGCTATTTATTATAGCCACACTCGCAATACCTGGCACCTTATTAACCAGCTTTCTCGAATACATCGTCTATACGCCCAGGAAGTGGACCAGGCACATTAATTTTCGTATGGATACAGCCTTGGATGCTAGCAGCCCATGCCACGGTTCTGGCTAATCTGCCAGTTGGAGTTAATGCACACATCCTCATAATGCGATGTTTCAATGAATGGTAAATGCAAATGATGTTGTGCAGTGTATTCAACTGCTCTCGATTACTGAATTCTAGCTGCTACGCATTGTTCCGTTGATGGATATGTCGTTCAGTGCATGCACACATCTGAAGAGATTGAGTGGTGAACTGTATCAAAAATAATGAAAAAAATCACATGAACTACACTATTAATGGAGCTTCCGGAGGAGAAGCAAAGTTCACTTAGTGAGCAGTTAGGATGAGGTACCACGTCCTAATAGTTCACCAAATGCACATGTGGTCTCATGTGGTTATTATCACATTTGTTTTTTGTTTTCTTAGCTCGACCATTATTGGTGTATGTTTATACAATACTCCAGCTTCGCACGCCTCGGTCCATCGCCACCTCTCAAAATGGTCTACTACCAATAATGTATCAAACGGTTGCATGTATACACCATCATTATGAAATGTTTATTTTCCGCGCGGTTGCTAACTACGCAAGCTCCAATTACCTCTACCACATCATAGACACGGAAATAAGTATCTCACGTGCGACCGATAGAGGTTTAATTGGACACCAAGACAACTCGAATGGCTCATGCACACCCATGAAGCCACCCAGCCCCCTGCAACCCATGGTGGCACCCAGCTGAAAATGCACACCGGCGGTCCATGTTGCCTGCTACAAATAAATGAGCTGCTCTAGTCTGCCCGGTGGCCACGGTCACTCATTGATGTTGGGAATACATCGTCTATTAGAAAAAAATCATCCTAAGAAATGCATATACCGGATCGGTGATACGAATACACATGCATCACAACGCGATGGACGGGTGTGATAACAGCCTCGCGTGGCTGCATGTCCACTCGTGATTTATCGGGTAATAGACAGACCGTAGACGTGGTAACTCACGCGGTAACTTTTCTCCCGAAAAAATTGTTGAAAACTTACCATGATAACTTACGTGTAAATAGCATGATAATATACACACGTC